TATCGGCTCCTCCTTCAGTGCTTTCGGATCCTTCATCGGGACCCCTCTCTGCACCACTTTCTGCATTTTCTCCTGCTCCTCCTTCTACTCTGCCTTCTTCTGCAACAACTACAATTCCTCCACCTTCAGCTTTTGCTAGCTGTTATTCATTCCCAGAAGTTCCAGCTAGTGCATCACTTTTCTCACCTTCAGGTTCGCCTTGTACTAATAACTCTTTTGGCTTTTTCGATGATGCTGGAACTGCAAACCAAGCAAGTATCTGTGGACTAACATCTGTTTCACTTGATGACTTGACATTTGGAGGGCTTGGAGCACCTGCAATGCCTGTCCATACTGTCTCTGCAACTCCTCCTCTTTTATCAACTTCTCTTTCATCATCATCTTCTTCCTCACCTGCTCTGATAACTCCTGAGTCGCATGTTGTTAATTCAGATGGGTCCAAGGTTCCTATAAATGGACTGGCTGTTTCTTTTGAAAGTCCCAATCTAATTACTAACTCTGTTATGCCTCCAACTTCTGTTCCTAATCCTCCTTCTGCACAACCGTCATCATCATCTTCTTCTTCTTCTACAGTCACTACTACTACTACGACTACTACTGGTGCTGGTGCTGGTGCTGTTAATATTATGGCTTGTCATTCATCTCCAACCCCAGCAATGTTCTCTCCCGCAGGTCCAGCCATTATCCCGATGGGTCCTCCTTTACATTTCCATCCTCAACAACAACAACAACAACATCGCATTTTTCAATCTACTGTTTCAGCTACAACTGCTCCGCCAACTCCTAGTGGATCTTCATCTTTCCCAGTCATGCCGTCACCTACGTTTCTCCAAAAAACTGGTTCTGCTGCTGCTCCTCCTCAAGCTCAATTCATTTCTAACTCTCCTTATGCTCTAATTAGAAATACTACTTCTTCACCTCAACATCAATCACGACCTCCCCTTGGCCCTGCTCCTGCTATCATTGGTCTTATGCCCGGTGCACCTTCCGGTGCCATTGGTCTTGGTATTTCAAACCCTGGAGCTCCAGGTCCAATGCCTCCTGGACCTTATTTCTTGACAGGTCCTCCTCAACCTCATGTCTCTGGTCTTGTGGTGGGTAATTCTCCTCAGCCACAACAACAACAACAACAACAACAACATCCTCCTCATCCTCCTCCTCCTCCTCCTCCTCCTTCTCACATTCATGCTCCCCAACCTTTCTTGCCACCACACGCTCAGCTGTCGGTAACCTTGGGACCTTCGTCATACGGGCTCGCGGGCGGGCCCAGTTTACAGTCTCCACGTCTTGCACGTCGACGAGCCGGAGGTCCAGAATATAAGCTTGTGACTGGAGGTGTTGGTACTGGTCGCCGCCATAGTTCTAGTGCTGGTAATCAAAGTACATGTTCATCATCGTCTTCATCATCTAGAAGAGCAAGTGCTAATAACCAAGGCCATGTGTGCAGTGAGTGTCATGTGGAAGAGTCGCCTGAATGGCGTAAGGGTCCCAAGGGTCCCAAAACTTTGTGTAATGCTTGTGGTTTACGATGGGCCAAAAAGTCACGCAAGGAGAATATGAAGAATATTGCCAACTCGGCAGCAGCAGCGACAGCGACGGCAGCTTCTGCTACTACTTCTGCTACTGCTTCTGCTACTGCTTCTGTTTCTTCGACATTGTCGTCATCAGTTATGAATACAAGTTCTTCTACACGAACAAGTTCTAGGCCATCGTCGCCTGGGTCTAGCGATGCTACGTTTGGCGCAGGTTCAGCCAAGTCACGACGTGGAAGTGGCCAGGCTCTTAAAGTACGATCTGCTTTGGCATCAGTATCGAAGCCAACATTGATGGGATCATCTCAGATTCCATTATCTGGCCAGTTGGTTGAGCTTGTTGGTGTTGCTGGGTGCGGGCTTTCCAGTGGCATTTCAGTTGTAGCTCCTTCATCATCATCATCTTCTTCTTCTTCTTCTTCTAATTGAACATTATTTTTTTTTTAATTTATTTAAATTTTTTTTTTTAATTAGCTTGAGCTATTGTACACTATGAATTCTTTTAAAAGATGAAAAAAAATTTTTTTTTTATTTTTAAATTTACTTTTGAAGAACTAACTTTTATGTTATTTGTTTTAAAGGTTTTTCTTTTTTTTTTTTTTTTTTTTTAAAAAATGAAAATGCATTTAAACAAAAATTGTTGGATGACTAAAATGTAGGCACATAATATTATGAGTGTTTGTTAAAAAAAAAAATTATTTTTATTTTTATTTTTATTTTTATTTTTTTTGATCAATTCATTAATAAAACAAGCTGTCAAAATAAATCATCATTTAAAAAGAGAATGTTTGTGACTTTTGATAGATATTGAAGGTATAAATTTTTTGAATCAATTAGTTGGGTTTATTAGCTAGCTGACTAGCTGGCTGGTCGGTTAGTTATTTAATTGATTGATTGATTGATTGATTGATTGGAGAAATGCAATTGTAGGAGTTTTCTTTCAAATATATATATATACTTTGTGCCTGAAAACAAAAAAAAAAAAAAAAAAAAAAAAAAAATGAAACCAAAGTGATATTATTTGAATGTCCATAACATTGATAGAAGACTTCTTTCTTTCTTTTTTTTTTTTTTTTTTATTTTTTAAAAAAAATAAATAAATAAATAATTATATAAAGTAGAGTTTTTTTTTTTTTTTTTTTTGAAAACTCTTCGATTGATTTTATTATTTATTTTTATTTATTTTTTTTATGGGAAATAAAAAGAGTCCTTCAATTAAGCATAAAAACTTTTGTTCTCTCTCTTTCTCTTTCTAATTAAAAAAAAAAAAAAAAAAAAAAAAAAACTTCTTAAACTTGTGATTTCATTAGTTAGTTCAAACGCACTGTTACCATATTTTATTTTGAATAATTTTTTTTATATATATAAAGTACCAATTACTTTTCGTATTAATCTACCTTATTCTTTAAGTATTTCAAATTTTATTTTAATTTTAATTTTAATTTTATTTTTTATTTTAAATTTAATTTTTTATTTTAAATTTAAATTTAAATTTTTTTTTCAATTGCGTAAGCCATATATATATACAAACTGATAGGTAAATAAGAAATCAAAAAGTTTTTATATTTTTTTTTTAATATATTTAATCAAAAAAATCCCCCTCCCCATCTTGTTGTTGTTGATGTTGTTGTTAAATTGAAAATGATCTTAAGTATTTCAGTCCCTCTCCAAATAAAAATAAAAATAAAAATAAAAAAATAAATTAAAAACTGGAGGTCTTTTTTTTTTTTATTTTTAATATATATATATATTTAAGATCTGGTAAAGAAAGATCTGACAAATATACAAGAATCTACTTCCAGTTGTTCATTTCAGTCTCTCTCTTTCTCTTTCTCTTTCTCTCTCTCTCTCTCTCGCTGGGTGGGTCTCTAAAAAAAAAATAAAAAAATAAAAAAAAAATAAATCTTACTCCTTATCTTAAATTAAATCTCATTCTTCACTTTTTAAAATATGCTAGGTTCTTTAATTATAAAATGAAAAAAAATAAAAATAAAAAAAAAAATTATTAATGACTTGCAAGTTGATCGTATATGCAATTGTATTCATCTTCATACTCAACAACAATTGTAACAACAGAATATAATTTTTTTTTTTTTTTAATTTAAATCGCTCCTCGGAGAAACCCCCTGGGGTCTTTTAACTGGGTCTTTCACGGGTAGGGTTTTAAGGGATAGAATTTAATAATAACAATAATAATAATAATAAAGTCCAAGTCAAAGTCATGTTTATTGAAATATAAAAATGAATAAAAATGATTTTAATCTTTGTTAAACGTTTTTTTTTTTAAAAAAATGTTTTAGTTTCCTTCCATCAATATAACTTTGCCTCATTAAGTCTCAATTTCAATTGTGCCATATTTTAGATTTCTTATTTAATATATAATAACCTCTATATATATATATATAACTTTAATAACAATAACATTAACAATATCTTTATTCAGAGATTTGTGAAATTATTATATTAACATATATTTCTTTGTATTTGTAATTTTTTTTTATTTCGTTTCTTTCTTTTCTTTCTTTTCTTTCTAGAGCTATTAAACATTGCACTTTCGCTTAAACTTCCAATCTACTTTGGTTTTTATGGAGGGGGGGAGAGGGTGAATTTATAAAAAATATATATATAGTTTTTTTTTTAATTTATAATTTATAATTTATCCTCTTTCTGCTGCATAAACAAAATTGACGTTTTTATTTAAATGCATTTTCCTTAATGCAGTAAAGTAGACAAACATTTATTTTTATTTTTTATTTTTTTTATACATTATGTATAAAATATATTCTCATATAATATTAATAATTTGCTCGCTTATAATAATACTACCAACACTGATATTTTGAAATTAGTAAGAAATAACAACCTGTCAAAAGTAATCAATTCCCCTTTATATATATATATATATATATATATATATATATATGTAAAAGTTTCCTTTCTATCTTCCTTTTTTGTTGTTCTATCTATCTATCTACCTATCTATCTTTTGTTTCCAATCTAATTTTTAGAAACTTTTGTCTATGTAGATACAAAAAATACCAAGTGCTTTATGTATATATATATATATATATATATTGAATATTGAATGAATATTTACATTACAGAAGAAAATATAAAATACTATGCTTATTATTATGTGAAGCATAATAATAATAATAATAATAATAATAATAATAATAATAATAATAATAATAATAATAATAATAATAATAATAATAATAATAATAATAATAATAATAATAATAATAAAAAGGAGAAAAAAAAACGTCAAAGATATATATTAACAATAATATTAATAATAACGATATGATTATGTTAAAATCTTTTGCATTTGCATTTTTTTTTTTTAGAATGTATAGTACTGTTAATGTTAACACTTTGGCAAACCAACTTGTTTCATTCATTCTTTCTTTCTTTCTTTATTCTCAATTGTTGTATCTAAGCTGCTAAAAAAAATAGACTAACTGATAGTAAATATTTTTTTTTTTTTTTGGTTAACCCCCTTTGGAAAAGAAAAGGAAATCCAATGTGTCAAATTTTAGTCTAAAATTTTTTTTTAATTTAATTTAATTTAATTATGTCTCCCCACCAGATAATTTTTTTTTTTTGTTTTTTACTTTGCTTATTATTTTGTTATTTTTTTTTTTTTAAAAATTGAAATATCTTCAATAAACTATCTTATTTATAATAATAATAATTATAATCAAAATAAAGAAACAATTGAAAAAAAAAATAATTGATGGTATGATATTATCTATTTTTAATTGATTTATTGATTGATTGATTGATTGATTGATGAATTGATTTATTGCACTGGTGGTTTTATCATAATTCTTCAGTCAATCAGGGAATATGAAGATAATTGAAATACCCGGTTTAATACTACCTACTATATTTACCATAAAAAAAATAAAAAAAAAAAACTTTCCAATTATATAAAATTAAAAAAAATAAAGAAAAAAATATACATTTGCTGTTGTTGTTGTTGTTAAAAAAAAAATATATATATATATATATATATTGAAGAAGAAAAAAAAACCAAAAAAAATTCTTATAAATTAGGAGCTCGATTAGAAACGTAGACTTAAATGAATATATAAAGATAAAAAAAGACAAAAAAAAAGGACAAAACAAAGATGAAAAAAAAGATGAAAAAAAAAGCCACTTAAATTACAATCAATTGTAACTGTCAAAATAACTTTTTTTTTTTTTTATTTCCCCTTGTTTTAAATTTTTTTTTTTTGATATCATATATATAATAATACCATATATGGTATTATTATTATTATTATTATTATTATTATTATTCAATAGGGAAAAACTATAAAATAATAATGTCAAGGGACAAGTTCTACAATTGGTATCTCGGTCGAGAATAAAAATCCCTAATTTTTCCTTTTCTTTATTTATTTATTTATTTATAAATATATATAAAAAAAAAAAAAAGAACTTAATGCATCATTTATGTTTGAACAAACTCCAAATAATTGGAAAGGTTTAAATCAAGAATAAGAATAAGAAAAATAAAAAAGAAATTTTTTCTAGTAACACAAATGTATGATATAATTAATTAATTAAAATAAATAACTTCATCTGTTATATTTAATTAACTAAATTATGTTAAAATTATGTTAAATAAAATTTTCAAAAATTTTTTAAAGAAAAAAAAAAAAAAACAAATCATATTTTTTTTTAATGAAACAGTTTTATTATTATTCAATAACTTAAACTTTGGTTATAATAAATTAGTTTCATAAAAAAAAAACGGTTAATTAGAGGGGGGGGATTTAAGTGTAAATTAGTATATAGCAAGTTATGGTGCAATGCATAAAAATTATTGTTGTTGTTGTTGTTGTTTTTTTATACAGTCGTATTTTTAAAAAAAAAAAATGCACTGTAAAATGCTTTGTGTGATGTTTCTCGGAATTAATAAAAAACCTCCGAATCCCCGGTCATGTTTGTTTGATTTGAACTAACTAATTAATTAATTAGTTATAATTAACTAACTCTTATTTTTTAATTAACAAGCTTGTTAAAGAAATATGTAAGAAAAAAAAAAAAAACAAGGAGAACAAAAACAACAACAACAACAAATTAAGTTAAATTAAATAATTAAGTTGAAGTAATTAAGAATATATTTTCAACTGTGTAATAAATCTTTATACTATACTTTATAAAAAAATTAATTTTTTTTTTTTTTTTTTAAAATTAAATAATAATGGAGCAGGAGCTGTCAAAAGTTGAAACTAAAAAAAATAAAAATAAAAATAAAAAAAAAAAAATTTCCATGATATTATCATTATTATTATTATTATTTTTATTAATATTAATATTGATGTTATTTTTTTTATTTTATTTTAGTCATTTAATTTATATATTTTTTTCAAAGGTCAAGAAAATCTAATGTTGGGTTGTAGTAGTAGTACATTTTCTGATATAGTATATCTATATTTGCTTAATATCTTTGATGTTTCATTCAATACATTGGTTTGGTATTTTTTTAAAAAAAAAAAAAAAAAAAAAAAAAAAAAAAGATTTTGATACTGGAGTATAATTTCATACCATTCTTTAGGATAAACATGCACTGAGCCCTATTTTGACAGGTCTTGTGTATGTATTTTTTTTTTTTAATTCCTTTTTTTTTTTTTTTTTTCTTTATTTTTCGCCCCTTCAATTCATTCGTTATTCTTTCAACCTTTTGAACTTTTGTAACTTTTTTTTTTTTTTTAAAGCTTCCAAGATGTTTCCTAAAATGGTAATATACTTTAGTATTAAACGTAGCTTCGGAACAAGTCCCCCTATTTTTTTTTTTAATAGTAATAATAATAATAATAATAATAATAATAATAATAATAATAATAATAATAATAATAATAATAATAATAATAATAATAATAATAATAATAATAATAATAATAATAATAATAATAATAATAATAATAATAATAATAATAATAATAATAATAATAATAATAATAATAATAATAATAATAATAATAATAATAATAATAATAATAATAATAATAATAATAATAATAATAATAATAATAATAATAATAATAATAATAATAATAATAATAATAATAATAATAATAATAATAATAATAATAATAATAATAATAATAATAATAATAATAATAATAATAATAATAATAATAATAATAATAATAATAATAATAAGCTACAGGTATTTTATATATTCAAAAGAATAAATGGTGGTAGTGATGGGGGAAAAAAAAAAAAAAAAAAAAATTCAAAGATGTTTTTATGGGTTAGGTTTAAAATTTTATTGTCCATTGTTTATTTATTGTTGTGTTTATACTTGTTTACTTGTTTACTTATTTATATTTCCTTTAGCCTGTCAACATCACACTTTTATTTTCCAAAAACAAAAAAACAAATAAACAAATAAAAATAAACAAATAAACAAATAAACAAATTTTTTTCTACTTATTTATTTATTTATTTATTTTTTTCTTTCTTTCTTTCTTTAGTTATTTCTTACATCCATCCAGTAACACATCATCCTCACATCCTTCAACCATGGCTTCCGAATCAATCCCCGATGGTCACACCGTTACCAAGCGTTTGCAATCCGAGCTCATGCAGTTAATGGTATGCTCTTTCCATCAAGCATTAATCATTAAACTTTTTTTTTCTTTTTTTCTTCTTTTTCTTCTAACATGGATTAATTGATTGATTGATTGATTGATTAATTGATTATTTTTCTGTAGATGTCTAGCACCCCAGGTATTTCTGCATTCCCTGTTTCCGATTCAAATATTCTTCTCTGGGCTGGCACCATTGAGGGCCCATCTGATACATACTACGCTGGCCTTAAGTTTAAAATTTCAATCGATTTCCCTGCAAATTATCCATACACAGCACCCACAGTCAAATTTATAAGTCCCATGTGGCACCCCAATGTTGACATGAGTGGAAACATTTGCCTCGATATTCTTAAGGAAAAATGGTCTGCCGTTTATAATGTCCAATCTATTCTGCTTTCTCTCCAATCTTTACTTGGAGAACCAAATAATTCATCTCCACTTAATGCTCAGGCCGCACAACTCTACGATTCAAACCCAGAAGAGTACAAACGTCTCTTGATGGAACGCTACCAGGAAATTGATGCGTGAAAATGAATAAGGTAAATGGCATGGGGAATGAAAATGAAGTTAGTATCTGCGTTGACGCAGATGCTCATGATAGAATGTTAAAAAAAAATAAAAATAAAAATATATATAAAAAAAAAAATTAAAAAAAGACAATAATTGCATTTAATTGTTAAATTCTAAAAAAAAAAAAAAAAAATAAAAATAAATAAAATAATTATTTTATAACTTTTTTTTTTTTTTCACTCATTCTTATCAAGTCCTAATGCGCTACTCATAGTCATGGGTGATTGAGCTAGTTGTGATCCGCCATTTTTAAGGTTGATTGATGCTGGTGGTTTGCTCGATAACTTGGAAGGTGTCAATGGTGGAGGTGGTGGTGGTGGTGGGGTAATTGCACGTTGTGGTGTAGAAGCCTCCGATGAAGGATACATTATAGGCGAGTTAGGAACTGTAGCCAAAGTTTCAGAGTCACTAGGAAGCAGAGATGTTGGGGTTTCAGCTGCACTTGGAGCTGCTGTTGTTCCAGTTGTTGTCCCAGGCACTGTACTTGCTGAAGATGATCTAGAAGCCTTGGTTGCTCCACCCGTTGCACTTGTCCCATTTTTCGAAACTCCATTGGATGTGCTAGTCTTTGTAGATGAAGATGTTACTCCTCCAATTCTTGGGCCTCCATTCCATGCAACTAGGGTATATTTGAACCCAGTAAAAGATTTGAGTTCAATGGGAGCTTTGCGCCAGCGCCGCACAGGGTTTTTGTTACCACTACGGTCGAGTCCCTTTAAAGCCATCATGCCTGTAAACCGTGCAGATCCAGCACCACCTGATCCTCCTGCTGCAATTGAAGTACCCATAGATCCAGCGCCTGCGCCGGAGGCTGAAGAAGATGTAGAAGAAGGTAGAATTATGTTTGGTGTAGTTCCCAAAGACCGTGGGTTAGGTCCAGGGGAAGCTGCTCGTGAAGAAGGACCTGAAGAAAGTGTTCCATCTAGAGGATGTGTCTGTGATTGTGATTGTGATTGTGACTGTGCTTGTAACTGTGTTTGTGCTCTTGAGGGTTTTGAAGGAGAACGAGGATGGTTGTTGTTATTGTTGTTATTGTTGTTATTGTTGTTAGGTTTGGGCTTTGCAGGGGATGTGGGGGTAGATGATGATGGGGTATGTTTTTGAGCAACAGTTTCCAGAAGATGTGGAGGAAGTTTAAGAGTAACTAATTTTTGGTTATGCAGGGGAGATTCTTGATCTGTTATTGCTGTAGTCATTGTAGGTATTTTATGTGATATTTTGTTGAATATATGGAAATGAATAAAGGGAAATATATTATTGTTTAGGGATGGATGGATGGATGGATGG